TGCTTAGCAACAACACATGTTTAGGTCACAAACTTGGTGACATAATTCACACTGTGGAGAGGTAACATATGAATATATAACACATGCACATGCTAGAAGTAATTAACCCATTCACTGCCATTCTGGCAACAATCTTCTAGAGAAGGGCATGCACAAGGCTAAAATAACATTGAAGTTGCACAGATTAATATTCTCAAAAGTTGGGAAATGCAGAAGTTAAGGTTCTTACTGAAAGGCTAATTGAGTCGCATGGCCTGTTATGTAGCATTCCTATATAGTTAAAATTAAGATTGATTATGATTGTTTGCTTATGTCTTAAGTGTATTTCATAAATGTATAAGATGTGCCACAGGATGGTGTCAGTATTGTTTAGAAATCTAGACTTTTGCATTTCCTGACTCTCCTTCAATATTTACTGTGCATTTTAAGATTGTATGAATTTTTTTCCAGTTAACTGACTTTTGTTTTACAAGGCCAAGAAGAGAAAAAAGTACTTGGCTCACTAATCTTAACATTTAAGTGTCCAGTTAGGGTTTGAAGTTCATGCCTCAAAGAGGAGGAAGGGGGTGAACTCCCATTTTTGCTGCAGCTTTTCATTTTGTCTGACGTCCATTCTCTGCAATGATAGTTAATTGATGGAGCATTTAACTTCTACTTACATTTTGATGCTTATATCTAGGCTTGGCAGAATTCGTTCTTTGTTGGTTTTCTGTTTGGGGTTTTTTTACATAATTTTGATGGATAATATCTGTTTTGTAGAATTTTTGTAGATTTGTATTTATTTAAATTTTCACAGTTGTGGGAAATTATGGGTGAGGCAGACAATGGGTGGGATCAGACAACAACTATTTAATGGCAGAAGACATTGAGACTCAAAGAGTTAAATCTTTGACTGTTAAAACACAAATTGTCTACATCACGTCAAAATATACAGAATAAATATCCTTAAATAAAACTCTAAGACGTTCTCAAGCAACATTTTTCTTGCTTTGCCTATCTGTTAATTTTGATTATTATTGATGGAAATATTTGTCATTGGTTTGTGTGTGTTTGGTAGAATTGACATTTGCTGACAATTTACTGATAAAAATCAAATCCTTCCATGCAAACTTATACCTTGCAATGGGAAAAGATAGTGTTTATAGCAGGTGCCACTAGATGGCACTGTTATACATGATCTTACAAGTTTTTTTTTCTTAGTGTGAGCAAGGTTTTAGTCTTTTAAGTTATGCTGTATTGTTAGTTTTGCTGTGCAGTTATCCTTTGAGGGAAGCTGTATCAGATAGCAGAGTTTTGTTTTATTCTCCATGTTTGAAAACAATGCTTGGGACACAGTAACATCCTGGGAACTGGACATCGGTGTGTCAGCTGAGATTTCTGGAAGAAAGGATTTGCCTGCCTGTTTGTGACTGCCTCAGTCCCAGGAATGGTGCATATGTGTTTTAAAAAACAAAAGACAAAAAAGAAAGAGAAAGGAGAAAAAAAAAGCAAGTTACACTTAATATACCCAAACTCTTGAGTCACAGATTTCTCCTCCATAGAGAAGCTGCCCTGCAAGGCCCTGGAATTCTTCTATG